TCAGAATTCAGGGCAGCTGCCTCCCCCCAACCCCCCACTTCCCCCAGATGTCAGAATTCAGGGCAGCTGCCCACACCCTCCCACACCTTTGAGACTCCTCCCTGCCCAGAAGCTTTTCCTCCAGCTGCTGCTGCCACTTGAGCTGGCCAGAGGCCTCCACTCCCGTTCCCCAGGTGCCACTTACCTTACGGCTGCAGCTGCGCTGGGAAGCACGCCTGTCTCCCCGGTCTCTGCTGGCTGCCACTTCCCGGAGCCATGCTCTTTGTCTCTGCTGTCCCAGCGGCTCCCACAAGGCCCTGAAGGCGCTGACCCTGGGCACAGACGCACAGTACACCCACATGCTGGCTGAAGGCCTGCGCTGGGCCTCGGTTCCCCATTGGTGACTCAAGGGGCTTGGTCTAGGGGTAGCAGCCTCTCAGGGACCTGCTCCCTCTGACTTTGTGTTTCCTGCTCAACCACAAGAACAAAGCCCACGAATCAGTGAGCAAGGATGGCAGCCACCACTCTCTTCTGAAGAACGGTTAATACCAGCAGGAATGTGCCTCGCCGTGGTGTGCTGGGGAGGACTGGGTCAGGGAGAAATGCTGTGACTCCTGGAAGATTTTTCAAGATGGCGAATAAGTTCATTGTGATCATATCCAAACTTTATAATGCAGTTTATGATCTGTTTAACAAAGTATTTCTTTTTTGAAAAGAATGCTTTGCCAGAATGTAAAGCAGATCCTCTGTGAGAGGAACGTCAGACTCTCAGATTCACCCCGAGCCCTGCCCTCTCATTGCAGACTTGGCTTTACATACCTGAGGCTAAAGGACAATTACATGGAGATACTGAACAGGGACAACGGCGTGGAAAGGTATGTACGCCCGCCCTCGGGTGTAAAGGGACACCGCAGTGAAGAAGGGTCGTTACACGGTTCGGCATTTCGGGGGAAAGACAGATTCTCTGTGTTCTCCCACAGTTCGCTCCCTCTCCTTCCCAGTGACAGCACAGAATGTTCTGGAGAAGGGCTGGGGTGCAGCCACAGGTCCGCTTCCCCTGGGTGGTTTTCCCTGGAGATGTAAACTGGAGTTGAGTGAAGAGAAGTTCACCGGTAAATGTGTTTTGGGTTAAACCTCAAGTCAGGTGTTACGCAGGACGTTTCGGGTGTCTGTGTGTTCTGACCTCTCCCGGCCCCTCTGCCTCCACGAGGGAAGGGAGTGGCAGCCGCCCCGGGCTGGCCCTGAGTCCCAGGGGAGGAATGCTGGCTCGCATGCTGGGAGCACGGCCTCCTGTTGAATACAGTTTGCACAATTATGCTTTTCCATGGCCCGTTTGATGTTGGATTGTTTCACTTTTCATGTCTTTAAAACGCTTCCCATTTTTAGGACGGTCCCTGTCTCAGATTGCTTACACCCGAGACAAGTGACCCATCTTGAGATCTGACTCCGGAGAGTGGGTGGTGGTGCCTCCTTTATCAGTAAGCACGAATGTGCAGTCACAGTTCCAGCAAGGACACAGGATCTGTGGTGCCAGCTTCGGGATGCCCGGATTTTAAAATTCCATCCTTAGGGAAAGTTAACTCCCAGTGGAAGGGAAAGGACAAACCCCTTGATTCTGCGGCGGTTCCTGGGCCCTCTGCTGGCACCAACTGCGCCCTCCTCACAGTGCCCTAGGCTTCCTGGGGGCTGGGGTGACCTGGGGGCCACAACTCACTGCTGTTGAGGCTCTGGATTTGCAGCCGTGGAGGCGGTGAGATCGTGGCTGAGACGAGAGCCCTGGTCAGGGCTCTGCCAAGGGACCCCCGGCTTCAAACTGCGCTGGCACCACAGCTTCCCACTGAGTCCGCGACCCTGAGGAGGCTGAGGGGCAGCTGAGGGCAGCAGCGGGGGCTGCTGAGCACTTCTGATACCCTAGACGCGGCACAGATTTTAGGAGTCTTCCAATAACAGGACAACAATACCCAGAGCATCAGTGTCCTTTTCTTTTTCTGTGGTTTTTATCTCTTAGGGCAACCCTGGCTCATTGGCAGAGATCCAAGCTCTGACAATTTTGAGTCTCTGTTCAACAGCATATAGGGATGGAGTTGGTGCGTAGGAAACATAGCCTGTGTGGCAGAATCTGAGCCCTCGGCCTGGATTGGGTGGGGACGTGGTGAGGAGCCAGTACTGCAGGTGCCACGGGGCCCAGACTTGTCCCGCCGGTGGCACCTGCCACGTCCTTCAAATCCAGGCCTCTCCAGGGTGTCTGTGTGAGGCCACTCCTCATCCAGCGGCCCTCAGTGTGTCCCCCGAGGAAGAGACTGGCCTGGCCCCGTCATTCTGCTGAGGAAGCTCCACAGTTGCCAGACGGAATCGCGTGAGGACCCACGAGGACCGTGTGACCTTCATTTCTCTTTCAGGTTTGAATTGCTGGAAATTTTGAGTTTTGACTCAGTAAGAAGAAGAATGAGTGTCATTGTGAAATCTGCTGAAGGTAAAATTCCTTTTCTCTTGGTTTATTAAATTATATATGGCGAAGGTGTTTTATTCTGATGACTAAATTCTACAGGAACTTTAAGGATTTAGAGTTTAAGAATGATTTATTTATTTTTTTTAAAGTATAGATAAATCCTAATTTTTTATTTTTAAAAAGTGAAACATTTTGAAATGCTGAGGAGGGAGCCGTGGGCTCAGCACCGAGCCCCTTTCCCTGTCTCTTCCAGTGTTGAGCTGGGGCCACTTGACCATTGAAAATGACTGAACTCCATTTATGAGTGTTCCTCTGCCCATCCCCCCCACCTTTCTCCCTGCCAAGCTCGATGACATAAATATGTTTTTAAATAACAATTTTCAAGGAAAGGGTAATGTGGGTTTGCCAATATATCCATAATAATGTTCAAAATTGCAGAGTGAGCTCTGTTGGTTGGCAGTTGTGGTAACCGTGTGTCTGAGAGCCGCACACTCTAGCGGCTTGTGCTCTGGAGCGCTGGGATAAGCAGTGGCGGGCGTGGGCAGAGCCCTGTGGCCGCTGTGATCTTCTGGCTGACCCGCATAGTGGGCGCTCTCCTGGTCCCCCCAGTGATCTGTGGCTGTCCCTGTTCCGGACAGTTCCCGCTCCAGGCCGGGTGGACGCATCTGTGGTCCCCTGACCTCCCTGCTCCGAGCTCTCCCAGGCACTGTGCATCCCCATGCACAGATGAACAACCTCGTCTCCTCCCACCCTCACCAGGTCACACACGACACGTGGCACAGGCCGCAAGTCGCTGAACCCCGCAGCCCCTCAGCTTCCTGCCCACCGTGCCGAAGCTCAAAGGTGCAGGCCCCCTGGTTATTTGCCCTGGAGCAGCAGGGCCCATGGGCTCCAAACACAGGGCCCCCCTTTGCATGGCCATTGCTTCCTAAGGGCGCCCACCCACCAGCGCTCAGCTTCTCCCAGTGCCCCCTCTGAGGCTGTCCCCAAGTGTCCCCCTAGGGCACGCCCACAGCCCCCACTGTGGCCTCGTTCCCCCTGCCTGCCTCAGGCTTCCCCATAGGAAGGGCCTTTCACCCACCTGTCCTTCCCTCTCCCGGCCTCAGCCGCACAGCCATGTGCAGGCTGTCACTCCGTGGCGGGGCTGTCCATCCATCTGTGGCCGCGGGCAGCCTGCACGCATCCTGAACGCAGAGCCCACGCTCTTCACGGCACCACGCCCATGGCGCGCCAACCTCTGCCGAGTGCGCCTGAATCCTGTGCCGTTCAGGGCACTCCACGCAGCCTGGGAGTGGGGCTTTATCAAGAGCTGTGGGAGCTCACTCCATGGTTTCCTAAAACCAGACAACCCCAGGCTGTGTTCAGCTCTTCGGAAAGATGCCTGGCAACAACTAAACAGCCACTCCCCGGAACCAGACAGACTCCAGGCTGGAGAGCCTCGTGCCAGCGTTTCCCCAAGACGTGCTGAGTTTCATTGTAACACAGAGTAGACGAAGCAGGGCCTTCATCAGTGCCAGGAGCACCTTTCTGATCAGGACCACGGCGCCTCACTTTCTAAGACCCAGAAGGAGCTGCGGGGGAACGCCATGTGACTCTCTGTGAGTGGCACCCTGTGAGTCGTGGCAGCTCTGGAGTGGGTGGGCAGCAGCCTCAGGAGGGTGCCATGGCTGCCCTGGGGCACTGCTACCACCTCCCTCTGGTTCCCTGGCCACAGTCCCACTGCGAGGCACAGCGTCACCTCTGAGACAGGCCACTGAATGCAGATGAGTCCAGGCTCCACGGTGAGACGTCACTGACTGTCATGGAACAAGGAACAATCTGTGTAAATGTTGCCAGGACTCCCGGGAAGAGCTTCCGACGGCCAGACCATGGGATCAGCAGAACAGGGTCTGAGAACAGGTTCAGATGTGCAGGAGGCCCTTCCCCCAGCTGGGACGAGGCCGGTCCTCAGAGTCTCAGCCCCTTGGAGTTATCTGGGATCAACGTATCCTGGGTGGGAAGTTCCTGATCCATCTCGTCACTTGGTCCTCCCTATAGGAGTTGAATCTAGCTGTTGAGCCTTGGCTGGGACATGCTGCCCACAACCTGCAGGGCTGACCACAGTGCCCAGGAAGGCGAGCGTCAGCCACCCCGGAGCTGCCCCTGCCATGCGCTCACAAATGGTCTTTGTTGCGTCCTGAACGCCCAGGACCTCAGGGCTCATACTGTGGGCTGCGCCGCGGAACTCTTGTAAATAACTCCCGTTACCATCAAAAGCCTGAAGAGCCGCCGGATCACACGAAGAATCAAGGTTGGAGGCATTTGCACCATGAGAATCTCCCCATCCACACAGGGCATCTGTGGACCTCCTAGGGCTTCTCTGAGGAACTTCAAGCTTGCCCGGGAGACTGTCCTGCCCTCTGAAGCCAGGCACTGCCTCAGCTATGTTTAAGAGATGTTTGAAGAGTTAATTAACAAGTCGTTCTCTAAGTAATGATCATCCCAGGGGAGGCGCACTGATTGCACTGGAGTTCTGCCTTCTGGGCGGGGAGACCCTGCAGCCACCTCACAGCCCACAGCTCACAGCTCACTCCTCACACCTCACAGCTCACACCTCACACCTCACAGCTCACACCTCACACCTCACAGCTCACAGCTCACACC